AGCGGAAAACCGTTCAAGGCATTCCTGAACCACAAAGAATAGCATGAGTGATCTGTGCCTTAAGGACATGTTCCTGCTCCAGATAACTAGCCAGAGCCCATCCCTTTGTTTCAGCCCATCCCTTTGTTTCCCATAAGGAATGCTTTTAGTTAATCTATAATCTACAGGGAAAAGAGACAAATCTCCCATGCAGAAGAATAACACATAAATTATGCAGCTACTCCACCCTAAAGGAGGAAGCATAACTTCCCATTTCTTAAATGTGGGCTTGCATAAGGGCTTCCTTCCAGAGTTTAGTGTGGAAGGGACAGTGATGGGGATAGTACCTTCATGATGGAGAAACCTGACAGACACTACTTCAGTCAGGCATCCTAGGTCAACATCAGCAGTCATGACTCATGTTGATAGCACGTGTTGTTGATATTATATACAAATGGACTTTACCTCTGTGATCTGCATCCCAAAACTAATAGCCTAATTTTTAAAAAGAGATCAGACAAATTCTATTAGCTTGGCGTCCTACAACAAGCCTGACAAGTATTCCTCAAATCTGTCAAGATCATTGAAAACAATCAAAATCTGAGAAACTTTCATAGCCAAGAGGACCCTAAAGAGACACAGCAACTAAATGGGATGTATCCTGAATGGGGTCCTGGAATAGAAAAATGGTATTAGGTTAAAAACTAAGAATACCTAAATAAAGTATAAACTTGTGTTAATAATAATGTATCAATAGCAGTTCATTAATTGTAACAAATGTACCATACTAGTGTAAGAGGTTAGCAGCAGGGAAAACTGCAAGGCAGGGGGCATATGGAAAGTATCTGTATTATTTGCTCAAATTTTTAAACTCTAAAATGGCTCTTTAAAAGGTCTAGTTTAAAAAAAAAAAAACTCAAAGCAAACTCCAAGTCCAGATGGCTTCACATAAATTATATTTATTATTTAAGGAAGAAATAATACCATTATACCCAAACTCCTTAAAAGCAATAAGAAAAAAAGAAGACAAGAAAGTATGTCATAACTTGCTTTATGAGGCTATAGGTTTAGCATTAACCTAATACTAAAACTGAGTAAAGACATTACCTGCTGGGTGCAGTGACTCACGCCTGTAATCCCAGCACTTTGGAAGGTCGGGGCAGGTGGATTGCTTGAGGTCAACAGTTCAAGACTAGCCTGACAAACATGGCAAAACCCTGTCTCTACTAAAAATACAAAAATTAGCCAGGTGTGGTGTCACATGCCTGTAATCCTAGGTATTTGGGAGGCTGAGGCAGGAGAATCACTTGAACCCGGGGGGCAGAGACTGCAGTGAGCCGAGATCGCACCACTGCACTCCAGCCTGGGCAATAGAGTGAGACTCAGTCTCAGAGGGGGAAAAAAAAAAAAAAAAGACATTACCAAAAAACTACAGACCAATACGCATCACGAATGTAGACACAAAAATTCTTAACAAAATAAAATTCAGTAATATACAAAAG